AGGAGGAAGGGACCCGCTCGCCGTTTGCCTCACCAGCCATGAGAGAGACTAGGCATCCCTGCTGCGTACGGAGCTTTCAACCCCGCTTGTGCCGTTTACTGACAGTTAAAGGAATTGAAGCGTAAAACGTGATTTATTTTTTCTTGTCTCTAAAGAAAAAGATATAATCAACATTTTAAATGCACTAGGATCTGAGAAATGTGGTAGTTAGCAACGTGTAATCGCTTCTATAAAGTCAGAGCGCATTAGAAAATACCTCTGTTTCTAAAGGACAAAATAACTTGCAGACTGTTAGACACAAGGGCTCCTGGCTGTGCTGTTCGGTTTCCGCTTAGGTTTGGTCTGCCTCGAAGAACAGATCAGTAAGCAAAGGCCAAGTTGTTCTTTAAATTCAAAGAACACAATTCAGAGTTTTAGATTAACCCGTTTATATAAACTGGCGTAGTTCCAAACTAATGTAAATGGGCATCGCTCCTTTGACACCATTGCGGGAGTGTTAATGGACTTCAGGTGAAGCTCTACCAAATCCCCCTGAAGACATAAACCATTCATTTTGCAGTAACACATGTACAGAGCTCATTTATAGCATCTTTGAAAGTAAGAGGACTCATATAGCAGTGGACAGAGTCACTGTGGATGTGCTGCTTCTAAAGAAGAGGCACGATTCATTACCTGAGGTCCTTCAGCACTGTTACTTCCATCCCATAGGCAAGACTGCCGCTGGAAGCTGACCTTCATCTTACAGAGATGTGAAAACGAGAGGTTTCCTTTTAGATTTTGATTGCAACCTTAGGACATAAGAGTAGAAAGTAGAAAAATTACTTTGTTGTTGGCCGATTTTGTCACTCCACCTTTTTGGACACTAATTCAACATTAAGTGGATGCAAAATTGGGGGAGGGGGGTAGAATTCATTTGAAAGCTCTTTCTCCTTCTTTTTGTACCAAGGGTGAAATGCTAAAGCTCAGGATTGGCAGTTATTTAACTTGAAGCTTCTTCTTGTGAGCAATGTGCCTAAGTCAGGCTTGCAAGAGAGCTGTGAGTTTGCAGCTCTGACAACTGAAACCTCACTGTTTTTCAATCATAAGCATGTTACTGAAAGAAAACAAGCCCCAGCAGAAAAGGGATGAGAAACAGCAGAAGCTCTTTGTGGAGCTGACATTGGATGACCTAACGTCTGTGCTTCTCTCTCTCTCTGCTTGAGTAAGCTATAAACAGAGCTGTGACAATTTATACTAATAAAATGAAAATGTTATCATCATTATCTGAAGTATGTGCTTGCATAATCTACCAAATAAAGACATCAAAGTGACATTAACAAGACACTCCTTTTGGAATAAAAAACTTCAATTCCATTCTGGCATATTTACAGAACCAAGTAATTCACCACTTGTATTTCAGAAATTTCTTGCAACTGGGACAAGAATTGCTGGTAATTTCCCAGTAGCATTTTTTTTTCCCCAAATACACCCTGCAAGCTACCAAAGGGGTGCCTGTAAACCTGCAAGATCAGAAAGGTGAAAAAAAATAGACCTATGCCTGCAAAGTGATGCACTGTAGCCAAATGTTTCCCAATGCACTGAGTTGTAACAGGCCATGTCAGAAAGTTCCCTCTTTGGCCTTAAGCCTTTCTTATCATAGAATCGTTTAGGTTGGAAAAGACCTTTAAGATCATTGAGTCCAAACATTAACCAAACACTGCCAAGTCCACCACTAAACCATGTCCCTCAGTGCCACATGTACACACCTTTTAAATACCTCCAGGGATGGTGACTCAACCACTTCCCCGGGCAGCCTGTTCCAACACATGACAACTGTTTCGATGAAGAAATTTTTCCTAATATCCCATCTAAGCCTCCCCTGGTGCAAATTCAGGCCATTTCCTCTCATCCTATCGCTTGTTGCTTGGGAGAAGAGACCAACACCCACCTCACCACAACCCCCTTTCAGGTGGTTGTGGAGAGCGATAAGGTCTCCCCTCAGCCTCCTCTTCTCCAGGCTAAAGAACTCCAGTCCCCTCAGCCACTCCTCATAAGACTTGTTCTTCAGACCCCTCACCAGCTTTGTTGCCCTTCTCTGGACACGCTCCAGCACCTCAGTATCTTTCTTGTAGTGAGGGGCCCAAAACTAACACAGGATTCAAGGTGTGGCCTCACCAGTGCCGAGTACAGGGGGATGATCACTTCCCTACTCCTGCTGGCCACACTATTCCTGATACAGGCCAGGATGCTGTTGGCCTTCTTGGCCACCTGGGCACACTGCCAGCTTCTATTCAGATGGCTGTTGACCAACACCCCCAGGTCCTTTTCCGCTGGGCAACTTTCTAGCCACTCTTCCCCAAGCCTGTAGCATTGAATGGGGTTGTTGTAAGCCATGTGCAGGACCCAGCACTGAGCCTCACTGAACCTCATACAATTGACCTTGGCCCATCAATCCAGCCTGTCCAGATCTCTCTGTAGAACCTTCCTACCCTCAAGCAGATCAACACTCCCACCCAACTTGGTGTCATTTGCAAACTCACTAAGGGTGCACTTGATCCCCTCCTCCAGATCATTGAAAAAGATATTAAACAGAAGCGGCTCCACTACTGAGCCCCTGGGAACACCACTTGTGACTGGTTGCCAGCTGAATTGAACTCCATTCACCACAACTCTCCGGGCTTTTTTACCCAGCGAAGCATATGCCCATCCAAGCCATAAGCAGCCAGTTTCTCCAGGAGAACGCTGTGGGAAATGGTGTCAAAGGCTTTACCAAAGCCCAGGTAAACAATGTCCATAGCCTTTCCCTCATCCATTAAGTGGGTCACCTTGTCATAGGAGTAGATCAGGTTAGTCAAGCAGGACCTGCCTTTCATAAATCCATGCTGACTGGGCCTGATTACCTGGTTGTCCTCTACATGCCATGCGATGACACTCAAGATGAGCTGCTCCATAAAATTCCCCAGCACCGAGGTCAGACTGACAGGCCTGTAGTTCCCCAGATCCTCCTTCTGGCCCTCCTTGTAGATGGGCGTCACGTCTGCTAACCTCCAGTCAACTGGGACCTTCCCAGTTAGCCAGGACTGCTGGTAAATGATGGAAAGCAGATTGGTGAGCACTTCTGTGAGCTGCCTCAGTACCCTTGTGTGGATCCCATCCAGCCCCATGGATTTGTGTGAGTCTAAGTGGTGTAGCAGGTCGCTATCTGTTTCCCTGTGGATTATGGGGGCTTCATCCTGCTCCCTCTCCCTGTCTTCCAGCTCAGGGGGCCAGGTACCTGGAGAATGACTGGTATTACTTGTTAAAGACTGAGGCAAAGAAGGCATTAAGTACCTCAGCCTTTTCCTCAGCCTTTGTCACTACGTTTCCCCTCACATCCAATAAAGGATGGAGATTTTCCTTAGCCCTCCTTTTGTTGACAATGTATTTATAGAAACATTTTTTATTGTCTTTTATGGCAGTACACAGATTAAGTTCTACTCGGGCTTTGGCCCTTCTAATTTTCTCCCTGCATAACCTCATGACATCCTTGTAGTCCTCCTGAGTTGCCTGCCCCTTCTTCCAAAGTTCATAAACTCTTTTTTTTTTTTTTCCCCTGAGTTCCAGCCAAAGCTCTCTGTTCAGCCAGGCTGCTCTTCTTCCCTGCTGGCTCATCTTTCAGCACATGGGAACGGCTTGCTCATGTGCCTCTAAGATTTCCTTCTTGAAGAATGTCCAGCTTTCCTGGACTCTTTTGCCCTTCAGGACTGCCTCCCAAGGGACTCTGTCAACCAGGCCCCTAAACAGGCCAAAGCCTGCTCTCCAGAAGTCCAAGGTATCTTATAACACAGTGGGCTGCCATGTGGGAGGAACTCAGTTCTGACCATACTTTAACATTTCCCCTATTGTTCTTTGAGTAGAAGAGCACAGAATTGTCATGAGGGTCATCCTTGGACTGCATAAAGATGGGTGCCCCTCTAAGTCCCTTTCTGCATGGGGACTGGAAGTGGCATCTGGGGACAGGAGCTCTGCTCTACTGGATTTTGCTAGCCAAAGAATTTCTGAGTGGATATAATGATGTTTATATAACATTTTGTGCAGATGTTTCTAATCTCTATATTTGAGTATTACAAATGCAGATGTGTTTTTCAGTACACTTTTTAAATTTTTAAAACAATTTTTAACCTATTATGGAGGGAGACATTTCTCGTTTTTATGGTAGGAATAAGAGTACCTATTCAAAGAAGGCATTATTAAAGACCAAAACATTAATATTATTTAAACAAAGCATAGGTCATTTCAGGATGCTTTTAATAAACCTACTTGGTCCACAAGGAGTTAATTCTCTCCTGGATTTATCAGTTATCAGGAAGATTGTCTTAAGAAAGTTCCTGGTCTGACACTCTTCTGCTATACCCTCCCTTCTTTGTTCTCTTCCTTCTTTCTCCGATTACTGTTCCAAAAACAACACCCAACCTCCTCAGGTCAACGGTTAATATTCCCGAGTGTTTATATAGTCTCCAGCAGCAGACCTCAGGCCCTTCAGCACTGGGCTAGCTCCAGCACCATGGCTGGCTTCTTGCAGATGACCCTAGCCTTCAGGAAATACCTGATCATAGTGTTTGTACCCCTTTTGTTTCTTCCTCTGCCTCTGGCTGTTCCTACCAAGGTAAGAACTTTTTAAATTGAATTTGAGAGCCAAATCTCCAAATCTCTCCTTAGAGTTGTTCCTTTTAAGTGACAGAGCTGAAGAGAACATACAGATTCTTTCTCAGAGGCACTTCATTTATTGCTTGAAGATCTTTTTGTTCTGAGCAGACCCCTTTGACAACTGATAGTGGAGGAATATAAAAGCAATAGGGCATAGATGGATGAACAGATACATCTGTGATTGCATATTCTAGAAGAATGCTCAGTGACATGCAATTTTTTAACTTTTGCTTTGTGTCTAACTGATTTAGCAAAGGACTTTCTATGCTGAAGCTCATATGTGTGAACCAAAGTTACAATCGAAGGCTCAGTTTTAATCCCCCTTTTGATGTTCTAAAAGCATCCAGTCCACACCCTCTTTTAATTTTTTCTTTGTTGTTGTTATTGCCAGATAGAAGAGGCATTTTTCTTAGTCAGATGGACAAGGCATTCTGATACATAAGGGCAAAATAATATGTACTTCACTCTTTTTTTAGCATATATCTGTAAGAATCTTCCCAAACAATGATTTAAAATTTAAAATGTCAAGTTTTGGAAGACACCTTGCTTAGGATTCCTTCAGAAAAAGTTAACTACAAAAACCTATAGTAGTGGGACAGGTATTTCTGAGACATTGATCATTTAAATACAGCACCCTGAGCAGGAAGACTGCCAGTGTTCTGCTTCTTCACCCTGGCTTATTTCTCCCACTCCCAATCTCTTCATGCAGACAGATCTAATCTCTGGTCTTCAGGTCTCTTACTACAGTCCCAGCATCATTAAATAGATAGTTCCAATCAACCTCTCCTGTCACTGCTCTTTGGCTGTCAAGTCCTAGCTCTTTCCTCTGGTCTCTGCCTGCCTGTCTCCCAATCTCTGCTGACTCCCAGTTTCTAGTCTCCTTTGCCAAGCTTCCCTCTTCACTCCACTAGCTCTTCCCTGTCTTTTTGTGCAGCCTGTCCCAAAGCTTGCTCTTTCTCGCAGCTCTTTTTCTGAGTGTTATCAGAGATTCGGAGCTATGATGAGAGTATTGCAAACAAGAATGATAGAGTAGCACTGGCTTGAAGTGAAACATGGTAACTGATCAGGCATGTCCTCTTATGCCCTTGGGATGCAGATAAAATAGCTTAAACTATCACTTAAAAAGCTTACTAAGAAAAAACCAGAAAAAGTACTTCTTTGCTAATTAATTTTCCATAGGCAAAAAGAGTTACTGAAGTTAAAAGAGATCTGGATCAGAAAAGTTCTAAGTAGCCAGAAAGAGACAGATTTTTTTTTTTTTTGTCCTGTGGCCACGAGTTCAAACTTACTTGCTAGAGTCATTGTTACCATACAATAAGTCCCTGGTATTGCCTGTGGAATGATTTGGCAGTCTTGGTTCAACTCCTCTTTGAAAATTACTCTCTCTGGTTTCTAAGCAGTCAGCTACAACACAAAAATTTAAAGGGTCCTCGACTTTTCCCTTTGCAGTCTGTAAGAAGATTTCTTGTGTTAAAATTGTGCATCGTGGTACTGCTAAGCAGGAAAAGCTGGTACCTCATCATGCAGAGTCGTAAGCAGACAACTTACAGGATGGAATTCCGCATTTTTCTATTCTGTTGAGCTATTAACCTGTTCTATAATGACATCACTCTGGACACTAAACTATTACAAATGAGAGCAGACAATGTAAGGATTTTGTCTAAAGACAGAGGAATGTCTTTACAGGACAACTGACTGTGCAAAGCCTTATTCCAGCTTTTACTGTGAGCCTGTTCAGAGCAGACTGGAAGAGAACAGCAGCGTGCCTATCATATATGTTCCAAAGCCCTGCTACGGTCTCTCAAAAGGCAGCCACTGGCATCTCTTAATAATAAAAATAGGGAAAAAAGGGATCATCAGAATGGAAAATTGCTTTCAGTGCTTGATAAGATGTATAATTAAGTTTCTTACTGCTCTCATTCAAAAATAAGGCTCAAACAGGCATCTTCATCTCTTCATGAATCTCTTTCAGCTTTACTTCTCCAATCCTGCTACTTTGGTAATTTACTACCTAGATTGCTATCTTCTTTCCTCCAGACTATTCAGCTCCAATGTTCACCCTTTCCCTTCACCAGCTCTGCAACTTCCATGCCATGTTCAGAAGTCCTGAGCATGTTCTAAAGTATCACAACTTTGATCCTGCCAGCCACTATTCCAGCTCCTGGATTTACTTCTCTCTAATCTAGCCGTTACAATTTCCATTTCTTCATTGTTTTCTCAGTAAGCATCACTATATTTTCATTCATACTGTCCAGTATATTTTAGCGAACATCCTTAATCCAAGACCGCACAACCACTTTTTTCTTCCTTTGGATTTGCTGGTGCCTGTTATTGTGCTTGTTCCAAAATGAGGAAGACACTACAACCTGCAATGTTACTTTTCCTTGCTTTCAGCCATATGAAAATCTGTTATGACATGTTATTTTGAATCTTTTTAGCATATGGGGCCAATTTAAATATTTTTACATAAAATTTGGAGTGGTTGTCCAAAGCAGAACCAAATCAATGTTTTCTCAAAAAAAGGAGTAACATGAAATAGGGAATTATCCTTTCTTCAAATAAACAAGTCAAAGCCAGTGGAAGCTGAAACTGGTATGTGACCAGTTTGTCAGTGAGCCTTTCAAAGTCTGTACTAAGCTAAAAATCCAATGAAAAATAGATAAAAGTATTTACAGTACAAGGAATCCATGCTGTTGAGATTAGTTGGGTTCATCTGGGCCAAGTCCTGAAACATGTGGAGAAAAAGGTGGAGAAACCTTGGCTGGATCAGTAAGTTTTTCTGCAACTCAAAGACAGGAATATAGAAAAAGAAAACACCACCAGCAGCAAAATATAAAGAAATCTGTGCAGGGACTGCCAATCCATTATCATGAAGGCTTCAAAGTAATGAATTTGTTTCTTTTCCTAAGTTTCTTGTTTTTCCCCATTGGAGGCCCCAATCTTTTCCTCATATTTCTGACAACGTTGTTAAATAGTTTGTCATTTAATTAGGATCTGCATAGGTAGGAGAATAGACAGGAGAGAAAGACAGAAAATAACCTTTTCCCAAATCCCTTTATCAGGAAATGAATATAATTATGGGCTGTTGCCTTCTCAAAGCCTGAGTGAGATGTACAGTCTGTTCTGATTGCATGTACTCTTCTCCTGTCAGGAGGCCCGATGTGGTTACGTTATCATAGTGATGGCACTGTTTTGGTGCACGGAAGCCTTGCCGTTGGCTGTCACAGCTCTCTTTCCTGTCCTGCTGTTCCCACTAATGAGTATCATGGATTCAACAACAGTAAGAGATCTTACTCTATACATGTTTGCCTATGTATTTATGGGTCAGCTTCTCTTATTATGGGATTATTTCCAGGGTGACTTCCAGCGTGTGGTGCAAAGAGGAAAAAATTGCACTATTGCTCCACAGGGAATCATGTGTCCTCTCCATGGAACAGAACTTGCATGAGCCTAGAGTGGACTCTGGGTGGAGCTGCTAATCTGAAATCAAAGCAAATTCACTGTTTAGATGCAATCCATAGTTGCTGCGTGCTAATGTCTTTAGGATAAGATCCTCCCTCAGAAAGCACCTTCTCTCTAAACATTATCTTCTTGTCACTATTTTTTCTCCTTTGTTCCATGTTACAGGTCTGCAGGGAGTATTTGAAGGACACCAATATGCTATTTATTGGGGGACTGCTGATGGCCATTGCTATTGAGAATTGGCACCTACACAAGCGTGTTGCTCTGTGGGTCTTGCTTATCACTGGTGTCAGACCAGCCCTGTGAGTAACAGTCATGAAAACACTGTGGGATAAAGGACTTTATGGTGTTAGTTCCTATCTCAGAGTTGCCTGTAGTCTCCTACATTAATCTGCAAATCATATCCTACAAAAGCTTTTCTATAGTCCAGGTGAATTAGTGCCTGAGCAAACCTTGAAAATGGGGATCCTTTGATGTGTTACAGGCCTGGTGCCTCTTTTTTGAATTCCAAATGGCTTCAGGTGGAGAAATAGCAACAAGAGAGTCAATTCTGAAAAGACAAGGGGGCTGCTAGACTTGTCCAGAAGCACAGCTTTAGACAATCAGGAAAGACTACAGCTGAAACACAGGACATATACTCTCTAGCTGTTATACTGGTTGCAAAGAGAAGAAAAAATATTGGGATGCTTGTTTTGAAAACAACAAATGTTTACCAGACTAGAACTTAAAGCTATGCAGAGGCTACATGGATGGCCCTATTTAATTTGTCTCAGATCATAAGAAGAGGGAATACTGAAGGAAATTACAAAGCAATAGAATAAAAATGCATACAAGATAAAGGCCTTTTCATCTAATATATAATCTACATCTCATCTAAAGAATAATTTTGAGACAAATAACATAGTAATACTGAACAAGGATTAGAATTTTATATGAGTAAGAAGAGAATCTTTAATGACAAAGGTGGGATAAAATTACAAAAAAGAAATCGTCTTCCTTATGACTTAAACTGATTGCCATTTAGGATCAAATTCCATTTGCAATTCCTCTTCAAAATATATTATAATACATTAATATGTGTTACTGAGATGATATGTCTTCCTCCGAAACATGCAGAAAAAGCAGGACACTGACTAGATAAACTGTTTGCTCCAAGATACCAGCTCCACTTTCCTAGTCATAAGAATGTAAAAGCACAATTGGCTGAAATTGCAAAAAGAAAAATTTATGTTAAATCTTACGGTGTCATTCACAAAGCGGACTAGGGTCAGAGGAAGTACTAGATTGCTAAGCATTTTCCAAACCCAGCATTTGTAGCCAAAGCTTTGTAACAATAAAGGACATTGCAGTGCTGAGTTCTGAACTGGCTTTTTCAAACTTTTTCATTTCAGACTTCTCATGGGTTTTATGATTGTGACCGCCTTCCTGTCGATGTGGATCAGCAATACCGCCACCACTGCCATGATGGTCCCGATAGCACAAGCGGTGTTGGAACAGTTGCACAAGTCTGAAATGGAGTCTAGCACAGCTGGCCAAGCATCTGAAAACATCAATAAAGCCTTTGAACTGCAGGAAGAGTCAAATAAACCAGATAGCTCCAAAGAAACAGAGGAAAAAGGTGAGAGGGTTATGGGTGTTTTTCTCTTTGGGGTAATGGAGGATGGCATGATGCCTTCTTCACTGTCATTATATATGCTAGCAAATTCTAAAAGAAGAATATACTTAAAGCATCCTGACTGTATCAGACAGCATTTATGAGGCTTTTTCATGAACCACACAAAAGCATAGTAAGATCTACTGACTTGGCTGAAGTTAGAAATAGATTGAAAATATGAAGAGATGATAACTAAGTAATAAAATAACAAAATGTGTAAATTCTCCATTAGCCAAAGCCTTTACATAAGGCTTGATATTTCCTTAGATATTTATGTTAGTTCCATTATTATTTACTGTGTAACTTATCAGATAATAGGGAATTTCCGAGGGAAAATTTCTGGCCTATTTCATGCCAGAAGGTTAGGGATTTAAATCATCTTTCTAATCCAAAGATACACAATCATGCAACAATATCTCTTTAGCAGCTGTCTTGCCCTCTACCCATCTTTGAGACAACTCCAGTGTTTCTGAACGTAAATCTCAGTGCCAGCAGTCAGGTGATGGTACAGAACAAGTTACCTTCAGTCCAACTCCTCTGACTCTGTTGTACCTCCCTGAATTCTTGCTTCTCTCCCCTCCATGTGAAGTTCAGACATTGCCCTAGTTCACTGAGAAGTGTCAGCAGTATGTTCAGACTTTATCAAACATTTCAACTTCTCTTCCTCTGAAAAACTGCTCTGTATCAAGACAACCAGTAAAAATGGACAGAAGATCAAAGAATTAACAATGAGGAAATTTGTGTCCTTCAGCTTTGAGTCCATTGTGTCCTAGCCTTGAAATACTGAATTACACAGACACAAGATCTTTTCTTATCAAATCTACTTTCTGTAACTCTTTTGTTCCTGCCTTGGCACCTAGGTAATAGTCATGTCCTGACAGTTGAGGAAGACAAAAAGAGAAATGAAGATCTGCTAGAGGAGAAACACAAGAAATTCTGCAAGGGAATGTCTCTCTGTATCTGTTACTCAGCCAGTATTGGAGGGATTGCAACTCTGACTGGTACAACACCAAATCTGGTACTGCAAGGACAAGTTGATGAGTAAGTCTGGTTGAATTGGGGATTACATATGCTACAGCTGACTTCCAGCCAACACAGAAAGAAAATATCAATTTGGTAACTTTGTCGGGAAGTTAGCTTCTCTTCCTTAGAGGCCTCACAGTACCTCTGCTTTTTCTGAATCGTTAATGAAACACAGAAGAGTGCAGAATTTTGGACACTAACAGCCATCTATATTTTACAGGCTCTTTCCTAACAATGGCAATATCATCAACTTTGCCTCCTGGTTCTCCTTTGCTTTCCCCACTATGATCATGTTACTGGTTTTGGCATGGATTTGGCTGCAGATACTGTACTTGGGCTTTAAGTAAGTACCTTTACACACTGTGATACAGCTGAAGGCCTGTTAGCAAGTACTCCTTACATGTTGTAACACAAGTGATACTTTCATTGATGAGCCTATACTTGAAAGTCAGACAGCAAGTGACAAAGTCCTCATATACAACAGAGACTAGCAGAACAGCATACTAAGTATCTGTTAAAATACTACCAACTTTCTCTCCGAGGAAGCTGATCAAATCCCCAAAGCTAAATATACTCTGTAGATGAAAATAGGAAGTTATAACTGCATATAACCTGTTCTGCAGCGTTGCTTTCATGTCCTGAAAGACTGTTGTGCTTCAAACCAGAAAATTGGTTTATACATACAGCTGGTAAATACCTTTGTGATGAGAGTTGCTGCAGACCTAGAGGATTAGTATTGTGCCAGTTCCCAATGCTAATCACCCCATACAACCAGCTTGCATTACCTACCTGTTCAACACTTAGCCTATCACTTTTGTATTATGCCCAGCCTCCCTTCTTTTAAATAGAAAGAGCTCTGTAATAACCTGCAATGATACTCTCATCTTCAAATTCCTCCTTTTAAAATTCTCCTTTTCTGTAATTTTAAAAAGCTTGGCAATTATTTACTTCCTGGTGATAGAATCATAGAACGGTTTGGGTTGGAACGGACTTCAAAGATTATCTAGTTCCAAGCCCCCTG